CACATTCTCGACAACAGTCAACAATTCTAACCATAAACATTTTAACTAAACTACTTACTTTCATGAGTCTGTAAGATTATTTAAAACTTGTTATTTCATGTAAAAACAATGCAATTTGAGCATAAAAACGATGACAGATGTTATTGAAAGTTGAGAGCACCAAAAGGGGTTGCCTTGGTGCTTACAAGAAGCATGCACAAAATTGCTTCACTTAAATTCGTTTTCGAGGGGGATTTGGGATCTGTTAGATGTACAAAATTAAAATTCCTTCTACCATAACAAATATTTGACTACCAAAAAAAATCTAATTTCTGATTTTGAATTCTTTTAGTTCAGATGGAGCCATTAAAAGTGTCCAAATATACCTATCAGGAAATAGATATATAATTCTATATTTTAAACACAATACTGTGCAATAAAGTCTCTGTTTTCTGGGAAATTTTGGCAAAATATTCGAGTGAAATAAAAATCAATATGCTCTATTTGATACTATGCTACTGTTGTTTTAATTTTTATGAATAAAAGTGTTTTTGTTGTTTTGAATGATAATACTTTAAATTTCTTTTTTTCTGTTCTACGCGAACGTGTTTTCGAATGAATTTCATGATTACACAATAATATAATAGGTTTATATTTATGAATCGGGACCGGTTTTAAATATAGTAATTTTGAACCTATCAACGATATTTTCAAAAAATTTGTTAAAATTACTCATACGCAACCCTTAAAATATTGCGAGTACTGTGACTTCGTCTTAACAATGATAATTTTTACGTAGAATATTATTCGATCGTTACATAATATCTATAGGTACATATAAAATAAAGAAAAACGGAAAATTGCGAAATTTATACGCGCGGAAATTCGAATTACACACACGGGCAATCATATCGTATCCGGTTCGATTCGTTTTCAATGACCTCCGACACCGACAAAATCGATAATATTTATTTATATAAATAATTTTTATTGTGAAACTTGTATTAAACGAATATATTTATGCATTTAATCACTGTCCGTTCGGTGTACAACTTGCACGGCTGGACTTACCACGGCCTATACTGTCGAAATAAATGTTATAATCACATGCGCGAAAACTATACGAGGAATGAAATTCGATTACCACTTATTTCGTCTATGCTCGTATATTGGAAATTATCTCTCATCCTGAATTTCTATCGTTCGCGAAATACATGCGAACCGACACATCGTGCATAAACAGCTATGTGACAACGTTAGCAAATTTAAAACAGAAAACATTTCGAAAACGAATCATTATTCTCGAAGTCGATATATGTACATTAAATACTTTTTGATTCAGAGCAGAGCGAGGGATCTATTGATTTTAATATAAATAAATACGATTAACATTTAAATAGTTATCTTAACTTGTCCTTTTAGATTATTTAGTTATAATCATGCATTTGAAAATATCGACAGCAAAATAACTATATATTTATGTACTTAACTTCTCATATGAAGCAATAATATATTATGATATGCTAAGAAGTCAATTTAGCTAATGATCACATTATTACCTTATAATAAACCTTAATAACTACACAAATATTTAATTACGTCAATTACTATGTCTTACTATCAATATCATACCAAAACACAATTTTTTCAAACTTTCTTTATGTAAAATCCTTGGATCGAGAAAAAAAATTCGTTTTACCTCTTTCTTTTTCTCAAACATACAATGGATCATACGTGGCGAAAACTCTATCAAAATCGTAAAACACGCGGAAATCATAACAATGACAAACAAAAACCAAAATATATATATTTAACAACAACAAACGTCTACATTTAAAGCACATAAATATAAAAAATTACAAAATATCCAGCAGGCAATCAACCTCTCAAACTGTCTACAAAATTGTATGCTCAAAAAATCAAAAAAATAGACTTTTGCACAAACTGGAAATATAGTGTATACAATGTCCATATAAAATATATTCAACCAAAGGTATGAACAGGCCGAGAAGAAGATGATATATAACAAAAGAAGAGACAGACAATAAATAAAATCGACTGAGATTAATTCATTGAAACCTATAAAAAAAAAATGTAATTATTTTAACATTCTTAATAAATGTGTGTATACTTTCATTTACTATATTAACCTAATATTATTTTTATATTATATAGATATTTTTTAAATTAATATTTTAAATTACTCCAATTTAAAAGAAAAAAACTTAGTCAATCAATATTATATAACATTTTTAACAAATATTATTATCATCCAATAACTAGTACTAGGTATTATATCCTAATTTACTACTCTATTCTTATATTACATACTATACTCATGTAAATATAAATTCAATTTGTAAAATAATATAATCAATCAATATTATTTAATATCACTAAGAAATATTATAATCTTCTAACAAAAAACTATCATTCAATTTTTACTAAACAAATATCATTGTACCAACACCGTTTAAATTAAAACCATAAAACACATAAAAACGACACACAGTAAATAACAAAATCATATAAACTACTCTTATTATATAATTTTTTTTTTTTTTTTTCAGAAAAAGCTACTCATGTAAATATCGTTAGGACACGATATCAAAAAAAACAAGCATGCAATTTGTAATAAACTCTTGTACATTTTTTTAAAACTTATATGTTGATCACGAGGACGTGGTCATTCAAAACTGGATAGAAATGTGTAATACATTAAATATTGAATATATGTAAAATAAATTAGCAAAGTGACGTAGTAGTAGGTAAAATTACCAGCTCAATCACCAAAAATATCAGTGTCGCCACATAAGTACGCCATAAATTATTTCACAATTAATTACGCGCATTGTTCACACACTGGCGCTCCCCGTAGCCATTGCGGTGATCGTATGACAGCCGTCAGGGTGGAGACCGCGGAAGGCACAGAGACGCGAGACACGTAAATCTTTTCCATCGAATCTTTTTGCTCACCTAAAATCCTTACCACCTATATTTTTCCAAACCTATATAGCAGTTGCAAATACCATATACGGGCTGCTGTATTTGGTTAATCCATATGTCTATAAACCTGATAGTTGTACTTATTGTCACCTTGTTTTCTATTACACACGTAAACGTATTTATTTTTTTTCTTCATCCCCTTTTACGCACAATACATTGCCTTTGACTGACTCAAGCACGATCTCAACATATCGCAGTTCCTGGTCGTCGGTCAGGACAAACAATTGTATGCAAATATTTCAACTCAAATATACACAGCACATTACTTCCGGTTGACTTGAACACGGTCCCGACATAGCGCAGTTCCTGGTCGTCAATCGGAATAAACAGTTGTTTGTACACTTTTGTTATTCTCACCATGTTTAATTACGACGATACGTCGGTTAGCAATTCGTTACACTAAACGGATGTATCTCTCACGAGTCGTCACTTATTAGCGACCCAACGTCTGAGTATAGTTACATAAATATCTATTGACATAGTTGACCTGGTGACATAACAATTAGAAAACCTACTTGTGTTTATTGTAACAACAATTCATCGAAACCTACGCATCCTTATACGTGCTCCTTATATTTTGAGCGACGAACTTTTTGCGAACTTCAGGCAGTGTACCGAGTTAAGTGATTATTTACATATTCTAGTAGTAGAACATTAAGTAAAAAAGATTAGGTATATGCTAATAAATGAATAAAGAAAATAATCCCGTGCGGTAGGTAGCTGCCGGTCAATATTAAACATAATTCGTCTTTATATTTGTATGTATGTGTATGTGTCGCGACGATGATCGCATAATGAACACACACACACACGCACATAGGATGATAAACACACATTCATCGACCAACAAACCGCCACGTATCCGTATTATACATACTACCTAACCGGTAACAATATCATTTCACACCATATACCAATATATAGGTGTCTTATGTATATTATGTGTACTTGACTATTCTTCTCTCATCCTTCACACCATACCCTTCTACCCTTTAACTTTATTTTCTTACATTTAATTTTTATTTTACTACACTATAATGTATTTTATTTTGCCCATAAACAATTTTTTGAGGAAAAAACTTGCTCCGATCAAAAATTGATAAAAGATCTTTTTTGTTGCATTTTAAATTTGGTTAGTATATTAAAAGGACAGATTTTTTGATTTTCGAAGCAGATTACATAGTTATTTAGAACCATAGAAAACGTAAAAAAAACCGAGAAATTTACGGAAATAATGGTTTCATTATTTTCAATTTTATTTGTATTGGTTTTATTAAGATTTTTTACTTTTGTATACTGTGTACACAAATACTAAATTTTTAATTTTCCAAGCGGTTTTCATAAAATCTGGAAAAAACCAGGATAAAACGAAAGAAAACGGGAAATTTACGAAAATAATACTTTTATTATTTGTTGATAAAGAGATTTTAATATCAAATGTTCACGAAAATCTTTAGAGTAAAAAATTATGTGAAACAAATCTAATGTTTCAATTTTTTTGTTTTGAACATAATATGTATTTTGCCGATATAAAAACGTTGGTGAAGTAAGAATTGAGCGGACTAATATAATTTCAAAATTATAGCTTTTCGAAGTTCTGATATTATTTGTTGGTATTTTAATAATTGTTGCTATTATTTTAAATAAATGGACATTAGACCGATGGAAATTTTGTACCGCCCTAAGAAAAACGGAAATGAAGCCCCTGCATATTATATCCTTGAAAGAGAATTTTATGAATCAAAAATGATTGCATCATAATATGTTTACGAATAAGGATGTGAGAAAGGATTTGTGTCACGTGCGATAAATACGAACAAGTAAAAAAAAAAAATATATATATATATATATTAAATACAAATAGGTACATTTTTATTTATTTAAAAAATGTATAACTTGAGATTCAGCAATAGTATAAACGGCAAATATGCTTGACATAAGCAATTCGACTTGAATATAATTATATTTAAATGATATATATTATATACATAAACAAATATATTCGTCAAGGCTAAAAAATCGTGCCTTGAATGTTATAAACGCGCGCTATGTAGTGAAATTATTATTACAAAAATATAATAAAAAATGTATATCTATTAAAAATATAAAATACATAATATAAATAATATTGTGTAATCCCTAAAGTTACGGGATTTTTTGGTGTTACTAAACGACTCGAGTATAAGTGAAGATCGATGGTTGGATGGTAGAAAAACAAAACAAACAAAAAAAAACCTACCTATCTAATAATAATAATTAATAATTAATAAAATAATAATAAGACACGCAACACGATAAAATGGTAATAGTTGTAGTGGTGGTGGTAGTGTTGGTGATGCGAATTATATTTCTGTTGTGCAGATGATGTAAGTGTAGTATATTTAGCGAACGTGTAACGGGTGCGCGGGACTGTGAGAGACAAAAGGGACGAAAAAAAAGGGCCGGGGTAAAAATAGAGGTATTTTTTTTTTCTGCGGTGACAAAATAATTTTACGGAAAAAATAAATAAAACATTCAAAAAAAAAAAAAAAAACAAAATGCGCGTGTTGTTTATACGGGAAAGAAACGGAAAATTAAATAATAAAAAACGTCAGAGAGAGGTAGATCGGGAAGCGGCGCCTGACGTAGCGACGACGACTGCGGCGGTCAGCCCAGCAGACCTCTGGACTCGTCCGCGGCATAGCTGCTCCCGATGATTAGCTCGCTCTCCTTCCGGTTCCACGTGCCCAGCCGGTTCTTGTAGCTGTTGCAGGCGATTATGCCATCCATGCCGGGCGGCCGTTCCGTGGGCACGGGACACGTTAGCGCGGCCGTCGTGTGATCGCCAGTCACGTTGCCGCCCCTATCGGGCGCCATCACGGACTTGACCAGAGGGTCCAGCAGGTTTTCCAGACTGTGGATGTCCTTAGCCAGTCTCGGCGGCCGGGAGAATATTAAAAACAGCGCCACGGCCACTCCCTGCAAAACGAAAATTCGTGCGTATTTAGATAACCTCAAATATAGCATTAATACCCAACCAACTGCGACCGAAACATACGATACTTGGCGATTCGATTAATATTTAAATGCCATTTGATCAGGCCACTGCAGTATGTGAAAAATCATGAATAAAGTGTGTAGGCTCATATAATTTATTTACTGAAAGCAACGATCAATCATTGCAATCAAAATTGATTCTGATTGAAATTCAATAAACTGGTAACGATGGTGTCTAGGCAAAAAGACCCAAGTGACACTCGGGAGCTAAGCGACAATTCGCGGTATATTATAGTTAAGGTTTGGGACTAGCACTTAAAAGAGACAAAAAAAGAAGCGCTTAAACAACTTTATTATAATTCGGGTTTTCGCCACAGGCTTAACATGTTAATCACAAAATATTATGTCAAAACAAAAAATTCATAAAAAGTATTTTTTATTTTATTTTTTTTTAAGCAGCATAAGCAAAAATAAAAAAATAACTTTAAAATTTCTTTTTTGAGCTCGTTGTAATATAACATTTATTTCCATAGCACTCTCCTAGATTTAATTGAAAACCAATAATAAACAAATGCTATTTAGTCCCGAATCTTGGTTACAGGTAGTTGGTTGTACTATTGTCTTTTTTTGTGTAGCCAAGATAATTTAGACATCAACAACACTAAAACTAATATCCAAAACCAAATGTAAGGATATTTTTTTTTTTAGAAAAATTGTTTGGAATCTAGAACAATTCCGTAAAATCCGGACGAAAAATCCGCGTCTTTTAATGTACTTACGCGTTAAATAATTTGGAACATTTTCACTAATCAAAAATGTGTTTTCAGAGAAAAAACTAAAATACCTACTACCTATATATCTTCTTCGCAACACTCAGAATGTAAAAATAAACCAGAGAGTACGTGTTCCCATTTCCCCCGCCGCCATACATCTGTCTACACATCGTAAACTACGCTCTTGACTAATACAGCCGTTGTACGCAGTTTTATTATTATTATTTTTTTTTTTTCATTACTATTGTATTGCCAAAAACCCAGTTTATGGTCGTTTATTTTATTATCGACACGGAACTCCATGAGGTACAATTTGATAAAACTAAAAATCCCTAACGTTGCTACCCTCGGCGATCGAAAATTAAAAACACCGAGAACCATATTAACACACTGCACCCAGTTTTGAACATGTGTCACTCGTTATATTCCACCCGGTATGCTACGGTATGTCGGTATCGATAAATAAGTATCAATAATTGTTTTTATTCGAGCTTTCGGCCACATCCATTGGCAAACTTATGCATAGACACAACTAAACTATCAACTTTGGAGGTACTAAAGGTATAGACATATCACAGGCCCGTGGATACAATGACTCAATAATGCCTTTTACACGATACCTATAATAAGCAACTACACAGTTTATTTACAATTCCTTATACAAACAAATATCATAACTTTTTAACTTTCTTTTTTATCATTAATCCATATTTTCTTATATTTATTAATAATGAAATACGTGGATCAAGTATCTAATCGATACTAAAAAAGAGTGAATTGGGTTTTTTTCGGTGAAGGGGTGCTAAAGACCCCCTCCGTTGTACCACCTCTAGAAGCGCCTATGAATTCATATCGGAACTCTGAATCAGAAACAAACCCCCAACTTTTATGCGAAACCACGTCTAATAGGCTACAAGTAAAAATACAATTTTAAAACAAAATTTAAAAATGTAAGTAATGTACCCTTAAGTAGGTATCTTATTAAATAAATAAAAAATCACGATTCAATTTGAATTACATTCTATGCATTTATAGTGTTCTTTATTATTTGTAGACACATGTTCTAATAATTTAAATTCGAATAAAATACGACCCATCATTTAAGACCTGTACTGGTTTTTTTTTTTTTTTTTTTTTAAAGCTAATAGTGAATAAAAACTTTCCTTTTTCTCCATAATTATAATATATTATACAAATTAAATACCAAGTGAAGGACTGCTGTGAACGAAATGTCAAAATCATAATAACTTGATAATAATATGTTAATGAAAAAAAAAAAAAATGCAAAAAACGGTAACGATACAAAAATTTGACAGCAGTGATGAAGTACTGTTGTATAGGTACAGATAAAAGTAAAAAAATAATATTATGATTGGAATGGTGTAGACTGAATTTTTCTAAAAATAATATTACACACAATTTAGTTCAAATACAATTTAATAATCTTATTACTTTAATATTGTACTTTTTTTATTATTAAACAGAAAATAATGTATAGACATTAGATACTAAGTAAAAAATAAAGCCGATTTGGAATAAATAATGAGTAGCAAATTAAAAAGTAAAATATATTAAGTAAAGGTATAAACTTTAAACTAAATATAAATACCTGTATAGTATATTAGTATATAATATTATGTTATACTGTATAATTTGTGTATATTTGCTTGACTTGGTAAGTCGGAGCTCCTCTATTATTTTTTTTTTTTCATCGTCCCCTTAATAATTATTTTGATTGGGACTGGAGAGACGTACCGTAAATTGGGAAATTCTGGCTACGCCACTATTTAGTACAAAGGTTCTCAACCTTTCTTATTTTACGCAACACTTGTAAATTTTCAAAAATTTCAAACACCCTCTCCCCTTAAATTAATTTAGATCCATTAGAGTTTAGACGACTTTTTTTTTTTTTTAGTGAGCTATATAAAATTACAAAATAACAAAACATATTGTACGCTATACAATAAAAATTAATTTATTGATTTTAATTTTACTGATTGTAAAATGGCATAATAATTTTAATAAAAAAAATTATTGTTATTTCATCATAATTATATCAGGGAATCATTGATTAAGTAATATTCCTGTTATAGCTGGCTTATAGATTAGGTACATTAGTATGTTTTCTAATAATGGTACTTTTATGTTGACGGTTAGTTGCCACGGCCCACGAGTTTATTAGAGCAAAATGATGGAAACTAAAAATCGAATTTGGGTCTTTTCGTGCGATTTGCAAATTGTAAAAACCAATTTGCAAAATATTGGCGTAGGTTTGAAATTAATCGGACACCTTGGTGGGACTAACTTCAAAGTCGTCCGGGAATTGTGTAGTCAGAATAAATATATATATATATATAATATTATATCCATATTATATTACAAACGTCCGTAATGTCCTTTTGAAATTCGAATTTCGTGGCAGTATAATATTATAGTTTTTATGAAAACAGCCGTGATCATAATTTTTCCGTCGGGGAGGGCTATTTAGTAGCCCAACGTTTTATTGAGATGGGTTCATCCCGGAGTGTGTTTTTTTTTTATCCCCCTTCTCCCATAAATACGTGTTTCAAATTAATTTTTCTTTTAACGATAAGTGTTATTTGCGGAAATATATTTGCAAACCGACACGCCGTCCATTTACGCGATATTATAATATATTGCGAACTCAAGATAAACAGACAGGTAATGATTATAAAATCATGAAATCTAATGATACGGACAGTGTTGTTTTCTTACCACGACAGCGGATAAGACGATTACAAACACCGTTGCCCAACCGAATCCCACGATGTCGTACAGCATGCCGGCGATCGAAGGCCCGATAAAAGCTCCGAGCGCGAAAGTCGACGTCCACAGCCCCGATATCAAACCGTAAGTTTCCAAATTGTTAGGAAACCCGTGCTGGCTGAAAATCATTAAAAAATCGACAAGGTACGGATAAATAACGATTGGGATATAATTTATTATAATACATATACGGTACCTATACTGTAATATACACCGTGTATAAACGGCGAGTTCAAAATTTACGTTTGGACCAATATAATCTGTCATACATGACAAAATAAAATTTAAATTAGAGCTCCTCACGGTCCGGTTTTTCAAAGACCGGATCGGACTAGTGAAGTAAAATAATACATGGAACAAATCATGGGATCGGACTGGGCTGGACCGTTTATTTTTTTCTCAACTAAATAAGACCGTAAGGCCAGACCGTTTTAAAATATATTAAGATCGTACTGAACCGAATTAGACCGAACCGGACTGGATTGGACAGGACCAGACCGGACCGGACCTATTAGTACTGATTATACTCTATCAACATTTAAACCGAATCAGACCTTAAAATTGGGAACATACTGGACCGGACCGAAAGAAGAATCGAACCAACCGGACCGGACTGAACCGTGCAGAGCTCTAATCTACATGTCATAGGTAATATCAGTTTTACTAAACCGAATGACAATCAATCGTTATGTATAAATACAAATAAATAAATAAAGATAATAATAGTATAATACTACGATGAATTTGCAGGATTTGGCAGTTTCTTAAATTCTTTGAATAATAAATATTTTAATCTATATTTTTTAGAATCAACAAAATTGGAACCTTCATTCGTTGTAACGGACATAAGTTGGAGTTGATAAACTAGAAATAAATATATATATATATATATATGAAATCACCTTATCCCGCCACGTGCAACACTATTTTTAGAGCGTTATATACGTTTCACTTTCAGTGTATCGTTCTCTTTATTATTCCAACTAATGTCAGTTCCAATTTTATCGATTCCAAACATGTATATGCCTAGTTCATCTATTCCAACTACGTTGATTCCAAAAAGTGTCCATTCCACTCTTTTTGATTCCAGCTAATGACGATTCCAAATAATGTGTTAATAATAATAATTGTTGAAGTTTCAAAGATCTTCAAAGATTTAAAAAATTGTCAATTCGACATTTTGAACATTATTTAAAATTTCACCATGCACCCTTTCCTATTATGCGATTGCATAGGAATTACTAAATCCTGCCGGTTGTGTTAAAAGTAGCTATGTTGAACGCTCGGTTTCTCTGATAGCACACGTTCGTGCGAAAATGGTTATACTTTGCGATTTCAATAATCGTAAAATTGTGCATAATATTGTGTTCGGAAATTGTAAAAAACACTATCAAATAATAATTTTTTAATTAAATTTATTAGTAATTATTAACTACATATTATAAAAACGTTGATCAATAATCGGAAATTTTCTTGAAATTTAATTTCGCTAAATATTATAGTTAGAAATGCGATGTCCGAAATAAACCCATTTTCCGTTGGTTTTTCATGTGTTAGAGAGTCAGTTTTTGACCTAGCTACTTGAAACTGATATAAAGTCGTAGGTAAAAAAGTGGGCTATAAAGTGATATCGATTTGGGAAATATCGCTTTCGAATTAACTATACCACGACCTTAGCCGCACGGTTAGGCTAATAATTTTAGACGCGTCGTGCGGATATGGTTCCTTAGCCGCGTTGTGCGGATTTCAGACCCATATCATACAATAGGGAATATTCTTAGATACCATTTTTGTAAGTTTCGGATTTAAGATTTTAAAATTGACCGTCTGAGGGTCCAATCAGTGCTAAAAAGTATTAGAAATTTCTGAGTTAGCTATGCGGTGAATTAGTTATACTGAATGAAGGGATGAACAAGGGAATTTATTTATCCTGCAAAAATCTTGTACCACGACATATTTGGCGGGTATTCAGCATTTATTTTACGGTTTATCATGGTCCAAATTTTTTGCTCTTTTTTTTTAATTTACCGATTATTTCAGGAATAAATAAAATTACTATGTTAACAAAATTATCGCTTACACGGCAGTCCGTAACGCGTCTGTAAACGACGCAACGAGTTGTGCACCAATGCCCATTCCGTGCAGAACCAGTCCTAATATGGTGATGTGCATTTCTCTGTGAAAACATACGTAAACGAAAATATTAATATTATTTAAGTTTTAGAACGAGCAATAATTTATAGCATGGGGAAGTTAAGTAGTAGTCATTAGGTACTGTTAAAAGATAAAGAAAACATTTGTGCTGTTTTTTTAAATTTGTTATCGGCGTAAGCTAAGCTACGGATCAGACCGCTGTTCTTGAGTATATTCATATCATTCTCAATCGCATCCAACCACCTCTTTTTGTCTTTCTCTGCCTATTTTAGATTCTGAGCGGAACGAGGAATGTATTAGTTTTATAATGATGTTTTTTTTTTTTTTTTTAATCTGTGAACAATTTTTCTACTAGCAATTTTGCTCCTATTTTCAAGTATAGCAATTTTACTGAAAGAAAATCTGACTTGAGTGGTACTTTAGTGAGATCATTTTTTGGTTTTCCTAGCTATTTCATAATAAATGGGAAAAACGTAAGAAAAACGCGAAAATGTAGAAAATATATTATTTTAAAACCATAAATATTACGACCTTTCAAAATATATACAACCAAAATCCAATCAGAATCATTTTTCATTAACAAAGATTAATCATTGTGCACAGATTTACATTAAATTCCTTTCAACCATATATCCTATCTTCCCAACTTCTCACCTACAACAGTGTCACACCCATCGTGCGAAATATGTCCGTATCTTTGCCTTACTGTTTCTGATTTCTTTCTTATTATTACAAGCCCAAAATCCAGTCCATTTCATCTCATTTTTATACTATCAACGACTATGATACCTCTTTTGTACTCATCTCATATACTGTCTCCTCTTGTCACTCCACAAATTCATTCTCATCTCTGATATACTCATTCTCTATTCTATTTTTCTGTCTACCGCCCAACACTCCAAACCATACGCATAGTCGGTCTCACCACAATCTTGTAGAACTTTCATTTAATTCTTATTGTAATTCTCTTATCACATAAAACACTTGATGCTTATCTCCATTTTATCTAACCACGCTTAATTCTATGTTTCACCTTCTATTTATTTATTTTTCCATTCTGTACATCCGAGATGAGATAAATTGCCCATGTTTTAGACGTGTCAAACTATTTGACAACATTTTTAGTATGGAAATCTCTTTTATATGAGCGAGCAATTCATTATTTTTAATATTTTTTGTTTCTTTGTAGGACAATTTTGGCATGACCTAAGTAATGAAGATGTAAGCGAAAGAGAGGTTAACTATATTGGTTATATAACAGGAAGAGATATGAGAGGCGATATTATAATAAGCAGTATATACAGCAATATTATAATAAGTGGGATAAGACGAAGGAACGATGTGGAAGGTCGATTCGATGTGGGATGAAAAGATAAAGATTAATTAGGCGTTTATTATTTTGATCGCAAAAAAAAAATAAAACAATATTGTTTATAATCGGAATTACATACAAAATTATACTCACGTTGGTCTGTTTAGGAATGGCACGGGACCGATGAGACTGAACCCAATCATGAGTATGATGCATCCCAATAGTGTGACCACTTTGGCGGGTAATACTTTGTCGCATAGCCAACCCCACCATGGTGCTGTCAACGCATACGTACCGCCGTTTATGACGAACATCAGTCCTAACACCATCGGCGACAGCTCAAACTATATTGTATAATTAAGTAGATAAAAAAAAAATTTAAAAATTAATATAATTTTTCCCGTTATATGTACGGTAATATCGAAAATACAATCGTACGTATTTACAGAGATGCGGCTGCAAAGTGGCTGAAAGAAACCCAATACTCATTGAAGTCACGATAATACTGGCGGCCGCCAACAACACGCCAGGAATTTTCAATACTTGTAAAATACTAGCTGTAAAATTAAAACAAAAAAATGTAAAGTAAAATTGATTATATAATTTAAAGTATAATGCTGATTCCACTGTTTATAACGGTCTTCCAAATGCCATAGATTATCCTACAGTCAAAATATCCATAAAAAACAAGAAAGAAAAAAATTATTTATGTGAAAACTTGTTGGAAACATGTATTTTTTTTAAATGTTACATTATTCTTATTTTTTTCACCTTTCATAAACAACAATTTGTGTTTCGAAACGTTGCACGATGTTTGAATAGTGCACCACTACTACCTCTTTAGCAAAATTTAAATGTAGACTACCTAGTCGTCGACGGACGTTAAAAATGTCAACACCAAAATGTATTTAAATTAAAACTGTATCTATTTATGGAATAAGTTATAGATTAGTATTGGAAATCAAAAGTTAGTAGTGGTTTCACCTTCAAAAATAAGGGTAAAAAAATAAGAACCTGTGTAATTTATTTTAGAATATATGATTCCGCAAATTAAATAAAGCTGTCCTAGGACGAGTGCAGTCGCTGTTGTAGGGAGGAGTTGGGATATAGACGGAAATTTAATGTATATTTTTATGCGACGATAAACCACTGCTAACGAAAAAACGATTCTGAGCAGAGTTTGGTTGATAGTGTTACTTTGTCATATCATATAGGTAATGGTAAAATAATTACTTATGCAATATGCAACAAACATTTTCTTGTAATATTATAATAATATTTGTTTAATATTGTATAAAAAAATGACCTCCTTAAGTACCTCCCCAGTCCGATTTCCTTTTAGAAAAGGTGCTATCATTGTAAATCGGACTATCGGAGAATAATTTCTGGTATAAAAGTTGTCCACAAAAAAAAATAAAAAAAAAAAATAAACATCATTCCATCAACCAATACATTCCTCACTCCACTCAGAATCTAAAAAATAATAATAATTATGTATTATTAGTATTATTATTATCATAGACAATTAAAGACTATAAAATGCGATTTGGAAGACTATAGCATACAATATAATATATATATACATTATATGACGTATGCATATAGATACTACATGTATAAATTGATTTTTTCTTTGCCATCTTTATGCTACCTACGTAATATATTGTTATGGTACGTTAAAAAAAAATTGGAATTTAATTTTAATTCCGATTTTTGATGGTTACAAAATCTCTTATTTATACCTCTACTTGACATTGTTTCATGGTGAAAGCTTATATTTTATAATGATATGCTCTGACTAAATCTGTGTTGTTTCATAAGGATCTAAATACTGTTTAAACTATTTCCAAGCTAGGCACCTATACTAAACTGTACAGAGCGTTTTTAAAATGCTTACTTTGCATATATAGTTAGATACCCAACTATAAACATATACATAATATATTATAACGTAAGTATACAAGAATCAAAATTCTTGTGTACAACAACGTTTATTAATATTATATGTTTAGCATAACTATCATGTCCAAGGGCGGACTGGCATAAGGGACAGGTAGTTAAATACTTTACGTTTTGTTCATAAAAATCGTAAAACTGTATGCGTAGTGTCGTGATTTTTACAATTATGGTCAAAATTTGAACTTAAAACGATAGTAAAAAGTTAGGGTGGTAGGATATATTGTGCAATTTAATTTATATCTGTATGCAAGTCATTACAAAAAAACGCCACGCGCCGTGGCGTGCCGTAAATATTTTTCGTTTTACCACTAATTTTTTTCGGGTTTTTCTCAATTATTTTTAAAACCTCTTAGAATCTCAAAAATGACTTCCTTTAGAAGGACACCAACTAGATGCACCAACTAATAAAAATTTCCTTTCAAAAAAAGTGCTACACTCAACAATTTAGAACAAGATTTCCGGTAGAAAAGTTGTTCACAGGCATAAAAAAACCACACATCATGTAAAACGAATAGATCTCTCACTACGCTCCGAATCGCTATCAGAAAATTCCTATTACGTTTTTGATTTGAACTCGTTCGCTTTATTTTCAAAAATGTATTGAACATTATTAGGCACCTACTAATTTGATCCGCTGGACTGTGGGCCAGTCCATCACTAACTATAATATAATAGTTGTGAATAATAGTAAATTATAAAACATGAAATAATATTATCGTTTTCGTAACAATTATCACGTGTACCTAATGTCGAAATAATATTTGAGTAGCATATATATATATATATATAGTACCAAAGTGTATGTCTGTTGTACACTCTATCAACGTTTTGTACATTGGAGTAAATACCGAAAAAAAAAAAAATCTGTGAATTTATTAAATTTGATATTCGAGTATTGTTTTACTATCAATGTACTATACATATACATGTATAAAACCGATTAAACGTCTATTACTGTATGTAGTAATTATTTGAATAATAATTAAAAAAAAAAAAAAAAAACTATACCGTCACTAGTAACGTCGTTTCTACGATTCGGGTGATCAGGTAACGCGAACGCGGTCATGATGGCCGAAAGGAATAACGTCGATCCCAAAACCATAAACGGAGTTATGAACCCTCCCACCTGAGCAAAAAAAAAAAAAAAAAAAAAATCAAAGTTAGTGTTTGTTTGGGTTTTATGTAGACGTTGCTGGTACAGATATTCATTAGTATAATATTACATTATTCTTACTGAATATAATGCTCCTCCGATGGTTGGCCCGACGATTAGACCTAGTCCAAAAAACGTTTCGAGCGAGGCCTGCACATGGAAAAAAAAATAACAATAAGGTATAATATTTAAACAATCGTGGAATTTGTATTTTATTCTTGTATTACAAATGTGGTGGCGACGTTGTCTGGGAATTCCATCGCAATAATGGCAAAACTGGCCGTCAAAAACGCTGCGTTTCCCATCGCCTCGACAATACGTATGACGAATGATAATATGATGAACGGATAATGGCTATCGACCTTGTCCAAAAATCTGAAAAAATTTAAATAACGTCAAATGCTTCAGTCCGTTTTTGTCATTTTGGCTTCGGAAAGGTTAGGTTAGGTTAGGTTAGAGTTTATAATTGTGTCGAGTCTGTCTGGCTGCCTGTCCATATGTCACTGTAGGCTTATAAGTTATGACTCAGGCTTACCAGATTTGTTCTATCGGTTTTGGTGAAATTCTACGGGAAGTTTCTTATGTGAACCGTCATATAATTGTGTTGTGAAAAAGTTAAAATAATAATTTAGGGGAAGTTTTTGTCTATACATAAAATTCAGGGATGGAAGTTATATTTTTTGAGTATCCCATCATGTGTGCACAGTATTAATATAATGGTTATAAATGCACTTAAGATTCAAACATGACATTTTTTTTCTTTTTACACTCGAATACTTTATGGTGATAATTAATAAAAGTCTAAAATTGATAATTATAATATATCCTTCCTGTAACTTCCAGACCATGGGATTAAAAATTTTAAACAATATGTATGTCAATATTGCGCAAAATATTATATACTACGACACGTATCGTGCATCGCTACCCGATACTTATTTAGGGGGAAAGGGCACGGGCGCACCATTTTTACTAACTGACTTTGCGAGAATAGGAATAACCGATTTTCAATATAATATGTTTACATTTTTTTTTAATTTTTAAAAACAACATTTTATGGTTCGTATTGAACTTCGATTTTTCATTTGATTTAAAATAAAAAAATTCATAAAAAAAAAAGTCAAAATTGATCTTTTTTTAGTTAATATAATAAAGTTTGTAAGTACTAAATAAACATTGGAAAACGGAATTCTAATCGAGCTAGAGGACGACTTCATCTTTCTAACAGAAGAATAACCATTGAAATCGGACCACTCTACGAGGCATAAGAGTTTTCCACGTAAACCATGTTTTTGTAGTCAAAAGCCGCGCTGGCATCGGACTTCTTAAGATAGACAATTGAGGGGACGAATAACAATTTTGCGAAGATATAAACACTGATGAGATCGACAACTAAGAACAATTATACCGTTATCTATTCAATATAAAAATACACCACATTATAATAATATTTTGTAATATTATGTACCTAAACAAATTATCACCCAAAAACAGGAAATCAATCCAAATAAGATTTCTTTTTGTTTGCGCATAGGATATAACAATAAACTTTGTAGTGAAAAATAATTTTGTCTCAAAAAGTATGATTATTTATCGTAAAACAGCTAATCATTAAAAAAAAAAATACTGAAAAACATAAATTTGACGTCAGGGAATTAGATCTGTTAAATTAAATATGAATTTATAAAAAAGTTACGACATATTTTATAACATAAAAAAGATCAATTTATAATAAAAATTATGAATATAATATTAACTTTATCTCATTCGAGTAAATTAAAAATCGACATAGTCCGGATAATGTTGTTGTCGTCTTTGATATTCATATTGAGTAAAAAAGTTTTAAAATCTCTTTGAATCCATCAAAGAGGTACTTTTTTTTCTGTTTTATGTCATCGAGTTCTCGAACAAATTTCATAATCCAATAAATTCATTTTTAATTTTACCTAGAATGATGCCCTCAATACTGCCTATACGTGACCCCTTAAACATTTGTAGTGTCACCTCTTCTAAAATAATATTATTTTACGATCATTTTACGGATATCCGTCAATACGTTTGCGTTCAATCGTTTCTGTTAGCCTACACAAAAATCAATTACAAAACATTTTAAAATCGCAATAAAATGTTAATTTTACAATGAAATTTGTTTACGATTTGATTTTACGCATTACATTGTGGTAATTGTAATCTTATAATTTTTCATTTAGTAAAATTTGTTTGCAAGTAATAATAGACTCAATTATTTGCATAGACTTTGAGATAAAAAGTACATTAAAATTAAATTAATAATTTAAGTATAAAAAAACAGCAGCTATTGTTTTTATAATACATCAATAACTGTGTAATACCGAATTTCGATGTATGTACATTTTACTTTCAATATACCTATTTAGTGACATGATTTCTAGAAAAATATGCACGGGCATACCTTGGTTAAATTGTATGGTGAGAGGGGAGGAGGAAATTATTTCCTATTATAATTTTTAATTATATTAATTTATTAAGTAGAATTACGGAGGGGGGGAGATGATAACACGTGGAATGATTCCCTTTATAATGATATCGCTATATTATTTTATGTGCATAAAAAAATGAGCTGGAAATACACATTTTAAACTGATATTACTTAGAACTCGAAACCCAAATGCCAAATATTCCTTATCAAAAATGTATTATTTTAAAATCAATTTACAAATTATTTGAAGGGGGGGAGTTGCTTTATGATTTTTACAGAGGTAACAGTTGCCCTCCCCCCAAGTTTTTGCCTGTGAATAAACGTGTACGTAGTCAAAAATCTGCAATATCGCGGTATCAAAGATTTCTAAATTATTATAATAATTTATTGTTTATAAATTAGAGGAGTGGTCCTACCTAGTTGCAGACAATGAAAAAAAAAAAAAATTAGATAAGGCCCATCCTCGTCGTAATTTCGGGCTTAATTAATAAATTATAATATTATAATTTGTTGATATTAGGCAGGTACTATTAGTTAATAGATAATAGATTTATGTACCTCTGTAAATATTATTAATACTACTCGTACGTTTTTTCGATTTTCATTAATTATTTTGTAAGATAATAATTGTTAGAACATCATAATATTGCAGTGAGTACACACGGTAGCTTTGCAGTACTAAGGTTCTTCTATTCAGGTCATGCAGTAATTCTTCTGGCACGTTAAAAATTATCAAAACCTATTTACTTATCGTATACTAATTTCGTTAAAAATCCTACGAGATTATCACCGCTTTGACAAAACATCGAGTTCGAAACAATAAATTTAAAAAAAGTGACAGTTTAATCGTTTTTAATGCACGCATTACGCACTCTAAAAACTAAAAAGAAAACTAATTTCACTATGTATATAGGTGTAACGCTTTTATTATATCATACGTTTGATGAATCGAAAATATCACTAAAGTTTTACTATATTATACAATTTAGAAACTAAACATTTTAAATTAATCGAAACAAAAAATGTACTGCTCATGGCCACTATTGTAGATGGATATAGTGAAAAGACAATAAATATATTTTATATAAAGCAATTTAATTTATGAATTGTATACAACGAAATATCATTGCAAACAAAAAACGATTCTGAGTGAAATTCAGTAAATTTTTTTAAACTAATTTACATGTAACATATTTTGTTTTAATTTGTAGCTATGTATAGGTAAAAAATATATACTATGATTGTAATCCAACATTCGAACTCTAATCAGGTAGGTACACAAATTAATTACGATATAACGATATTGACTTTTTTTACCACTAAGTAAAAATTATGATGATCACCGATCAAATATTTGAATATACTTTTTATGTTTCCAATAAAGTTGTATTTACATAGATACAAAAATATACGAGTAGACTGCAGTACGCAGCTTAACGAGTTACGTTAAAATGTGAACGCTTATTGGGGGAAAAAAAAAATAACAAATATCGAAAATACGTTAAACTTTATACTTCACAACCAAGTAAAACGTTAGGTTAAACGTTTTACTTAAATATAACATGCAATAATAACACATACATCTAAAAAATCTGAATATCAAAAACGTTTATAAAAAAAATTCTGATTTTACAGATTTTCTATATTTTTCTAATTCTATAAGAACAACTTGTCTATCAAAGCCATGAGCCTCCTATCAAAATTTTTGAGCATTTTCGAGAAGCCAGACAAATTTAACTCACATAAAACAAAAATAATCAAAAATTTAAAATAGCTCAAAAATTGCCAGAATGTTTTGAAAATGTTACCATGTCTAGAAACAGTTAATGTAAGTATTCAATGAATATGTCAAGTTTCTAAAATTATTTTTTACCTTAGTGCATCAACATTAACAGAACCTGTTGTCCTGTAACCATTTCCGTTTTAACCCATTTTTATGTGAAAAGTACTAGGAAAATCAATATAAAAAAGACGAACATATTTCGCACGACGGGTGGGCCACTGTTGTAGGTGAAAAGTTGGGAAAGTGGAATATAGAGAAGAATTTAATTTATAGACGTAGGCAACGATAAACCATTCCTAATGGAAAATGATTCGAAGCAAAGTAAACATTTTATATTAAAAAAAATAAAATAATAAAAGCATCGTTATTGCAAATGTTCCGGTTTTTCGAAAAATCAAAAAACGACTTTGTTACACAACTAACTAAATTTAAAATGGAAAAACATCTTTTATCGGTTTTTAATTAGCGCAATATTTCTGGTAGAAAACATAGGGCGTACAAATTTACTATAATGAAATAGTCACGTCGTTTGTTTTTTTTTTTTTTGTTGACTTTGTTATATACCTGATGATAAATTTTTAATTTGAAACCGGTCGTACAATGCACATATCTTAATACTCCAAGCGACGCATTCGTTTATATATTTATTACATAAAAAGAGCTAAATATATTATAGTAAATATTATATTAGGTTACTTGTGACAATATTTATAAGGAAAGTAAAACGGTTAATAATATCGTCTGCTTACCCGAACAGTATTGCGCATAATCCCGTCGTAAATATTCCGCCATTGAACAGATTTTTTGGTCCGATTTTGTTCAGCTGAAAACAACGAAAATAGTAAAATATTATAGTAATATCATATCAGAAGTGTCGAGTTTACTCTTGTAACAATAATATACTCACATGTTTTCCGTATATAGGACTGATTAAAAACACGACCAGTTCAAAAACGCCAAACACCAAACCGCATTCCGTGATTGTCGCTCCTTTTTTTATAGCCTGCGCCAGGTATATAATTGTACAATTTTTTAGTGTTTATAAAAATTTTGGGTTCCCGTGGGGTTTTTAAAACATAATATAACACGAATAGTATACGCCACGTTACTGCAGTAAAATCGTTAATAATAGTTTATATTTCTCCCATAAACGTATCAACTTTTTTTTAAACAGGTTCCTATAATATTATACTTCCAAAAGAAAAATAGTGTCAAGGTAAACAAAAAGAAAAATATATGTAAGTACCTCCTAATCAAGAACAATAATAAACGCGAGAAACTTTGGACTTGAGAATAAGCTTTGCTTGTGCATTCATAGGTCGAGATTGTAAATTAATTTTTTTTTTACTCTGAAACGTAAACACACACACACACACACACGCACACACTCACACCTTTAATTTTATTCATCGTTTTTTTTTTCGTATTTAGATGACCCCACGGGTGTGCCGCGATGATACCAGACCGTTTTTGAATTCGTGACCAGAAGCATGTAGACGTATAATATAAAAACTTGACACACCCATTGACGTATTTGTTTAAGAACCGTAGTCGAAAATAATGCAGTATAATGTAGATAAGTACTTATTAATTATCAGATCAATAATTTAGAGATATACAATTAAACGGCTGCGTGGCGGAACAAAAAAAAAAATAACATTAAAATTATAGTAAGACGGAAATTGCACGATAATATTTATTACGGGCACGGTAAATTTTAGTTTCGAAAAAACATAATGTCAATTTAACGAGTTATACTCACCGTTGTGATGCCGGCCAATATCTATACAGGATACATTTTTTTTTTATACAACGATTTTCTTATGAGATTTTTAGTGAATATTTTTTTATTCTGTTTTATTCGATCATTTTAAAGCATTGTTTATGCTTTCGTCACTAACATTTATTTTCTTTGTCTGTCTCGCAGTATAAGAAATAGCAACAACAAAGGCACTTCGCACCTTAACGATTATGACTTTTCGGTTGAGCTTTGAACAAAGAGACCTATTGCGCATTTTATTATAAATGAGAGTATTTAGTATTATAGTATTCAGTGTTTCTTAGGGCTTCTACGAATGATCTTTCTTAATATTGGCATTTTGTTAATAAGCACCTAATTAACGGTCAAAACTAGGTGCAATTAAGTTAAATTTTGATCACGCATCTTTTGAGGAAACTAAAAATATTTTAACAAATAATTCATAGAAGCCATACCTAGTTAGTACCATTTTTTAAAAATATATAATAGATCCTGTTTCAGCCTAAACTAAAGAGTCGCGATCGTTGAAGTGCAGCAGAATGCCTTTGTTGTTATATGTGCACGAGGTAGACCCCGGGAAAAATAAATGTTAATGATTGAACATAATAAAATAAAAATTTACTGAAAATCATTTGCGAAAATCGCTTGATGGAAAATTGTCACAGTGTATAGGATATTTCCTTTTCATCGTATCCATTTGTAAATGATAATACTTCCTACAGTTTACATTTGAAACGGTTATAACGCGTAAATTATGTAAATGAGTATTATGCATGTCAAAAGTTGGTATAGTGTTTGTGGTATTCGGAATAAGAGAAAAATGTTGAAAATGTTGTGAATAAGAATGTTTAACATTCTATAATTTTACTCAACATTCTCGTAACTCTAATCTTACTAGTACAAACATCAATATATCATAACGGTGATGAACAATGTAATACGAGTAATTTAATTAAGACAGTGATTGCACAATTTCTATATAACAAAAAAAAACGATTTGTTGACGGATACCAGTAGCGTCATTGAGAATTTTAAGAGGGGGGGGGGATATCAAAATATATCTTCATGGTAATCTCGTGGAAAGTTAGTCCCAAAAAACCTCCCCCCTCTTACCAACATATAATAACTCATCACCAGGGCTCGAAAGTTTTCTATTAAATGGCACGTCTTCGTTTTTAAAATCGCAATGTCCTAATTACGTAGTATGTAAAGCTCAAAGTGAAATGTACAATTTATTCTGACATAAACTATTAAGAATATTGCCTACCTAGTATAATAATAAACTATAAATATTTTGGTATCTACCAATACAATTAAACATTTATCATTTTTTTAATTTCATAATAGTTTTGAAAATTTTCATTTGAACTTTCAATTTGTATAAAATGACAATAAACTATATAAATACGGCTCATGGGAGATTTATCCACTACATCCCCTCCCCCGTAATTTCGCTCTGGACTGATTGGAAAACAAAAAAATACGAAAGAAGAGGGGAGGCTAACGGATTAAAAAAATAAAATTAGACAAGTATTTCCAATTACACCGCAAAAATATGGAACTAAAAAAAATTGTTTTCGAAAAAAATGTCCGACCGCAAGTTATAATTCGTTTTTCCTCGTTGTTAATTTGTGTTGGTAAAACTTTATTTTTTAAAAAAAAAATACATAATTGGAATTTTTTTCTAGGATTCATATGAAAAATATTTTATCAAACAGGGTGGACTATTTAATCAAATTATATGAGAGATATTTATTTTTTATTTATTTATTTATATATACTAAATGAGTTTTAACCATTTAGCAAAATATAAATAATACACACAATTTCTGCTTAACTTAATAATGATAATTTGATAGCTTATATAAATATATGGATACAAAAAACAAAAAACAGTAAAATAAAAGCATAAACTATTAAATAAACAATAAATAGTGACAGAAGTAGCCAAGATTTTGAATGCTTTTGAAGAAAATTGGACAGTATACAATATACATATACATATATAACCAGACCTACATACATTATAGTTCCAATCGTAAAAAAATGACGAAAAAGTTGTTACAAAGTTACTAGTTACACTATAATATTATGATATTTTAGTTACTTTTTGGCCGTTAATACAGGTAATGATAAAAAAAAAAAAAATCAAATCAAATAGAAATCAAATTCACTTAAACCCTCCGAGAAAATTGCTGGTTCACTTTGAAAAAATATCACTCTGTAGCGACCTTAATCGCATATCTCATAACACGTTTGAGCGACAAATACTTAAAGGAGTTTTGGTATGTTTGGGCAGCAAAAGAACCACGGCATGTTTAAGCACTAAATGTTCAAAAATATAAAACACAGATCTTAAAAGTGTTACGTTACTAGAGGTGGTTTTACCGCGGGGGGTCAAGGGAGTCTAGATCCCCAGACTCAGACTACGAAAAGTAATGGAGTATCATTTGTACCACGGCACGCGGCGTTTTATTAGTACCCCACTACTCTCCTTGTACCTAAACTTAAAAGTGAAATATCTCGGCAATAGATTGACGGAAAATAAAAATTCCAACAATCAGAATTTAATTATATATGGAGAATTTAATCAAAAATATGGGAGAGCCCGCTTAGTGAATTACCCTATGTATTTCGAAAATATTAAACTTATGGTGATTATAATTGTTTTCATGCTAAAGATCACTGAAATGCACTTTTGTGACAGATTTAAAATATACACAGTATACCTATTAACATAAAATGGGAACCTATGAATCACCTGGATAAAACCAAACAATTCATTATAAAAAAAAACAAGATTTGACTGACATACTTCACAAATGGGTGCAGCCACTGTTGTGGATGAGAAGTTGGGAAGGTAAGATACAGACGGATATTTAACGTATATCTGTAAGCAACAATGAACCATTGCTAACGAAAAAACGGTTCTGAGCCGAGTTCAGTTGATAGTGTTTCTTTGTCAACAATATATATGTCATAATATGGTAAAATGATTGCAACAATGTGCGTTTCTATGACAACAATGATTGTTTGAAAAAGATTTGAAATAATAAAAACTTAATCATAACAAAAAATAGACAAAAGAATTACCAATGAAAATCGGTTTTTAACCTAAAAAACCAGGTTTTCCTCATTATCTCGAATATTAATGAGAATTTCAAAAAATGACCTCTATAAAGTATTACCCAGAGAACATTTCCTTTCAGAAAACGTGGTATATTGATAATCAGAGTAAGCTTTCTAGTAGAAAAAGTGTTCCATGTTAAAAAAAATAAATATCATTGTAAAACCAATACATTCCGCGCTCCACTCAGAATCTAAAATGTATAATCAGTATTGGAGCCCGAACGGATTATTATAATATGCTGGAAATGTCAAGAATCGTTGTCGAATGACTTGCACCCAAGTTTTGTGGTGTACAAAGCTTATAGTCCTCGGCATCAAGATATTTAAAAAAAAAAAAGTTTTCTATACCCAAACCGTGCCGAGGTTATGGGAGGGGGGGACATGATGAAGATAAGTCTCCCCTATAGCCTTTTTATATCAAATAATTCACCTTAGAACACCTCCATTTGTAAAGTTTATGGTACGGTTAATGGTGGTCACATCTCAAAAGTGCTAAAACTAAACAACTTAGTTCTTACATTAACCAAATATGAGTAACTATAGCCACTGTGATATATGTGAGAAGTTTGAAAAGTATAAGATAGGTATTGCGAAAAAAAATCTGACTATTTTACTTACCGAAAAATAGACATATTTTAATGTACTGTGGAATGGAAAAAAGGGAGCATTTTTGCAAACCGAAAAATGTTTTCCCGAGAGCCGTTTTACCTAGTAAAACTAATAGCTCAAATTCACTCAGAATCTAAAATGCAAATTTCATTTGGGGCGTGGGAGGTCCTCAAACGAAGTAAAAAATTATCCATCTTTTCTGAACAAAATCATTAATATGCCGCGGTTTTTGGCGGGGCAATCGCTCTTACAACCGCCCTTCTCCTATATTACGTGCCTGGTTCGTCAAACGTTTTAAAAGTTGGGGAGTTTTAACACGCAGTGGGCATTCGAGAAAAAGTACCCAGTTTAATACTAAATAATAATAAATGAAAAATAAAATCACCTCTTTCGGGTAAAACGGTGCCTGCAACGACACACATATGGCGTTACAAAAGTCAGCGATACTGAACACGATTAACGTTAGCCATTGACGTTTGCTAAAGTTTGATATACGTAGCATTATATTTAAAACTCGGACGGATTCACGTCAATGCGAACGCGAGAACGGCACAGAGATATTGTTGTTGTTATTGATGATCGAGTACACTGATAAGGCGCTAACTGATAAGGCGCGGAAAAGGAATTTTCGTTTGTTTGTTTTGTTTTCATTCGGTCCCCGTGTCACGCATTGTGTTCGCGGTCCGCCGATCTGCAAAAAATCAACAATGATAATAATAAAACACCGGAGGGAGGGGAGAGCGATATTTCTTTTCTTTAACTAGATGTACCGCAATAAAATATTATAATGATAAGTGCGTTCAAGTTCTCGTCGGCACGGTTATTGTGGTCGCTGACGTAGGTGTTATAGGAGATCCATACGGTCATTTAATCGGTTTTCGCCCGATAAAAACGCACCGAACGACGGAACAACGAAATCGAATGGAAAAAAACAAATATAATTTTCGAGGTACGCCTGTACGCCTAGAGTGTAGGTGGGTCTGGGCGCAAAGGCAGAGACGTCAACGGCGACGAGACGTGGGCAAAATCGTGAACGGTCGGACGGCGAGTTTTTTCTCCGGTCCAAACACGACGACGGGAACGATTCAAAACCATCCGTCCCGCAACGGTTCGTAACAGCGGGCGTATCGCCAACGGAATTCCGCGTACGAAATGTGTCGGCGAATCGTCGGCAATCCTACGGGAAATCTTTGGCGATCGTATGGAATGCAGGAATTCACGGGATATTATCACGGTGTTATTCCGGATATTCCGGCCAACGAAATATTGTGTTCGTCGGCGATTCGCCCGCACGGACTACAACCGATGTCGTTTTCCGACAACGACTGATACTCTAACGTCGGCGTTTTACACCTACCTGCTGTGTTTCGATGCTGCTGTCGCCGAGTAGTAGAAATTCGTGCAGTTATCGAGTGGTGCGACGAACACGAAAATATGATAGAACGACTTGGCGGCAACGGCAACGGACGACCGCGGATTCGGCCACCTAATTATCCCGATTTAAAAGCGCAATAAAATTGTAAGATGTTAAAAAACGAACAGAAAAAAAAAAAAAACAAAACGGACCGGTTGCTAAATCGCAAATAATTATTATTGAGTGGCCGGCGAACCGTTTGGCGTTTACACGAGTGATTATTGAGCAACGCCGAAACCGTTAACACAACAACGATATCGATGATAATATAATATTCGGAAACGTTTTCGAATCACTTCACCGTGTCCGGCCGACCTGACGTGCGATACGATGTGCGGCGTCGTGTGCGTGCCACGGCGTTTCGCTTCTCCTCTCGCGAACGTGACGGTCGCGACCGCGGCGGGGATCGACGGCGGCGGCGGCGGCGTCGCGCGCGCGCGCCCGTTTTTCGTTACGATATAATATTGAATTATAATTTTAGAACAACGATAGTGAAATAATATTGTAATAATAAAATAACCGGGTACCTGTTATCAGTGCGCGCAGGTAGCGGGTAACGGTTTTATCGGACGAAAACACACGGCCGCCGGACCGAAGGTGGATCGGCGTGCACGCGCGTCCGCCGGGTCTTCGCTTATCGTCCGCGCGCTGTCGCCGCAGCCCGCGGGTGGGGGATCCGATCTCGCCGATAAAACCGCGGAGCCGCACGTACGACGGCGGACAAAGTTCGCGCTGCACGGTCTTACTAATATTCATAATATTATTCACCGTAAATCGGTCTTATCGTCTATTTCACGTACATCACGTATTATCGTTCTCATAAATTTAATAGCGTTACAGGTATATTATGATTGTGTTGCGGGTATGGGCAGGTTACAGAGCCGGATCAAGACGTACGAACCGCAGGCCCGATTGAATCCGACTTTTTGTCGGGTGAGCATCTCACCCCACAACCGCACACCCCGTGTTAGCCTATGGCCAGGTTCAAGAGTTTCACGGCCGCAGTGCCTGCCTCACTGCATTCCGGTTTTGGTCGCGGACCACCTTCGGTGCGGCGTTAGCCCGCCGATAGACGGAGTAGGCGCCGGGGAGATACCCCGGTTCACAGCCGAGGCTGCTTGCGAGGCCGTTCGACTTACAGCCCTCCCCGAGTCAGCATGACCCGTAACCTCCACACAGTCACTCTAGCAACAGTCACCACGAAACCATTCCGCGGTCGGCCGAGACCGGAAGCCGGCCGCCATCTCGCGGTACCGGGGTCAACGTCGCTAGTGGGATGCTCGACCGGGAGCATGGTCAGGCCGTAGCCCTGCGCTGTCGGTCTTCCCGGATTGGGCGGCGTCTCCGAGCTCTGGGTGGGCTCTTACACGGAGCGCTCGCTCGTGTTTTTGCCCATTAGTCGCCTTCTGCGGTATCAAGCAGGGCTTACCGTTGCCGCCATTCTACTCCCCGGGCAACAGGGAGGTCCGTAGGCCCAAGACGTCGATGTGCTGGACGGTCTGTGTCTCGTATCCCCTTGGCGCAATGCTCATATCACACGGCCCTCGGCCTCCAGTCGCCGATAATAATCCGCAACACTTGTTTAAATACGCGAAAGGCGTTATGGTTTTTGCGTAGAACCGTTACAAACAGCCGTGTTAGGCCATTCAGCGACCTGGGGCATACATCATTTAGGACGCCCCTTAAAGGCCATATTGGCCCTTTATCTGAAAACAGTGGCGTAACTACGTGAGTCACACGTTTTATGATCACAAATGAATCTGCGTATTTTTTCAAAGCCACTATTCTTGTATACATAAGATCATAAGTAGGTACTTCAGCTTTTAATCTCGTCTATTACATCACTGCTTATTTTCATTAGTTGTCTTGTCCTGTTCTTCCAAACTCGTACTCTGTACACTCTGTTTTACTTCTACTTAATATCCTTAGTTCTTTTCATTCAAGTCTATTGTTAATTTCTTTCTGATTGTCTCCGATCAAAACTATTTCGTTTTCAAACTTTATGCAGCACGGTACCTCACCTTGCGTTTCCGTCGTAACTTCATCCATTGAAACACAAATAGGTAAGGACTCATGACATTTTTCTCTATCAAACAAACTCAGAAATCTTTTTCTCAATAACGGCCACATTAGAACCCCTCACTCAATCTAATTTAAATATTTAAGTCATACATAAAGTGTTCTTCTCTCTGTCCTAATTACAATCGGTCTCACACAAAACACCGGTGCCATCGTCAGTTTCATTGGCATAAAACCAAACTGTTTCTTAGATATAGATGTCTCACTTCTAAATTTTATTTTCTATAACTTTTTTCTTGTACCTTTATACTATAACTTTCATATCATTTTTATTTTACTGTAATCTCTACGATTGTGCACATACGAGTATCTCTTCATTTTAAAAATAAGTATTACCAAACCTTGCCTCCACTGATTTGGAATTTTACCTTCTAGGTACCAACACCTTTATTGATAAAATCATTTAACCAGCCTATGCCTAGCTCTCCTAACATTTTCCACACTTCTACTGATACATCATAATATGTGCCTACCTACCGTATTTTCTTTTTCATTGATCTCACAGCTTTCCACAATTCCTCGTTCCTCCACGCTAATTAAACCTTTCAGACCTTCGTTCCACGAAATACTCTTTAACATCTTTCTTGGATACTGCTCATTCATTAGTTTCTCTAAATACTCCTTTCATCAAGCGATGGATTCTGAATTTTAACTGGAAATTTGCGTTTTACCGGCCCAAAACACTATAAATGTAAAAAATGTAAACAATTTAGTGGACATTTAGTGAAATTAAAAAATAATAATTTTTTTGGGGTTAAATATATGATTTATTATTCTCAATTTATTTATTTATGTGGCGGCATGGTGCGCGGCGTTTTAATAATGCACCACCACTCTCTTTCGATCCAAACTTAAAAATGGAATACCTCGTCAACGGATTAACGGAAATCAAATATCAACACCAAAATTTATTTTAACTTACACCCTATCAGTTTACAGAATTTTTAATATAGGTTGTCATTTGAAAATCAAAAGTAGGTAGTCGTTTTAACCACAAAAATAGGGTAACACAAAATAATGTTTAATCTATGGTCACAAGTAATAAAAAATATTTTTATCGAAAAATAATGCTTTTAAAAATAAAAAGACGTTTGACTAATTAATTAATTATAAATACTTTTAAGCTTCTTCTTATCCATATTACTACTTACTACCTACATTACTTATTTTGTTTTATTGTTTTTTCAAATCACAACAATTTCTTATATCAGTATCATCTTAAACTTGTGTGACTTGCATAATAATCATGTGAATTTTCCGTCGGCATTAATAAATAAATTGAATTAATTAATTTGAAAATTTTTGTGTAAGAGGAATGATAAAATTCATATAGAAATTTAATAGATATTATTCAAGAATTGTAATATTTTGGTGATTACCAGATTATTGTAGGTACTCATATATCTCATATACTCGTTTGTATATTAAGTTATTTAGGTTTTTTTTTTTATTGCACATTTAATTTGTAAGCATGTACCACTGTACCAGCCAACAAACCGGCCATCCAGAAGCAAACCGCATAAAACGGCATTGCCGCATAGGTACCTAATGTTATAAATTGACGTAACGTTATTATTATTATATTACCGTGATATTGACAAATAATAGTAAATGTATAGTAATATAATTTCGAGAGAACAATAATGTTTCGTATACCTATTTATAATCAAAGTGTATAGCGTATAGTTTCAGTGAAATAATATTGAAAACCATGTGATACAATAAAATATATACATACATGTACCTATATAGGTACAATATTAAAATAATATAGTTTCGTTTATTTAATCGAACAAATATACAGTATAAGTATACAAATAAGTAGAGATATAATTATATATTGTCTTGAAGTTAATTATTCGAATGCACAAGTCATTGGTGCGGGTCGCGTTAAAAGTTTTTTAATCTATGTAGAGTAACTTTTTTTTAAAAATTATGTCCATTATGTATGCAATGTCAATATAATATAATATTCGATAGAGGTCAAATTTTTATTATAATTTTATCGATAAAACATTTAAACGAGTTTTTAATGTGTTAAGATATTAAACGTACGTATGTTATTTCAGTAAGTATATAATATAAAATGCAGTATGCATTATTGTATTTGAAAACTCGTATGTATTTTGCACTATCGTATAATAAAATTCTGAATGGCGTTGTAATTTCATAATCAACCCGTTCACGCGGTTAATTCATTATCATCAGATACCTATTTGTTTATTTTGTTTATTCTTTTTATATAATTTATATTGTTTTATACAGATGGGCTTTACCGAGATAACTCGTGTGGAGGGCCAGTGTTTACCTAAGATATAATATAATAAAAAATTGCAGTACCTACCGGGTGATTATTTTATCGTTAAACACTCATTATTTCGATAAGTATTGACTATTTTTGAAATGTTTTTTTTGAAAACTTAAGAAATAAATAGCTCTAAAATGTTACAGTAACATTTATTTTTGTCTTTATTTTTAGTGATGAAACGACAACCTATTTTTTATTTTCAAATGGCAAGAAATATTCGAGGGGGATCCATATCAATAGATCAATTGATAATGTAAAAATAGATAATGGACAATAGATCGCGTGACAATTGATTGTGTACGACAATCGATAGTGTACGGAAATTGATAGTGTACGACGTTTTCAACGTTATTATGAATAGTAAAGTCATAATAAACTCATTGTTAATAGCTCCACGTCAACTGGTTACTGTCTTATTGGTGCACTAATAGTATTAGTGTACTTTTATTAAGACTTATATAATATTAAAAATGTAATTGCCAAAATAAAAACTGTTTGATAAACTGACAACAAAATAAATAAAATAAAAGTTGATTAAGATAACAATTATCGGCAATTTTAGTTTATCTACTAAATGTATAAAAATAAATTTGATGTCCTTCCTGCTTTAGAATTTGAAAATATCGTTGAAAACGTCTTATACTATAAATTATCGCACGCTGTATCAGTTGTCATATATCTACTATAAATTGTCACGCGTACAACGAGTTTACGTGCGATACACTTTGAAACTACCGATTTTGATAAAAAAGATTTGGTCCAATTTAAAAGATAGAATAATCTTTCTGTGGCGGTTTTGATAAAACATCAAGGGAGGGAGGCGATTTTAAATTTGTTAGGGCCCAAACTATAATGTTATGCATCAAAAAAGAATAAAAACTTGTTTGATATGGTCTTATCATAAATTACACGTCATAACTTTTTTTTTAGATTCAGAAAAGGTTATATTTCTTCAACTATTTTATCT